TTGAAACGTTGGGAGATTTGTTCCATAAGAGCTGTCGAAACTTCATACGGCTGCAATGACCCAATGTGCGAAATGGTCGAAATTCCGAGTGAACAGACATGCGATTCCCGTTTCGGGGCACGACTCCAACTTTGATTTTTTTTTCTTCGAAAAAATCGTTCCTCCGGATAGATGATCGCGAAAATTCAACAGAATGTTGTGAAAAATGCGTGTTTTATACTGCATGAGAATTCCATGCAAGTGCATGAATTTTCATACACTCGCATATAGTGTATACGCATTTGCTTAGTGTAAGCCATACACAGTGTATCCCTTTCGCCGTAATCGATACGCTGAGGGTTTTTGCAGGAGAACGGTCCGGAATGGCAACTCCTGACCGTAGACCATGCGATTTTTTGGCTTGCTCTTTTGTGGCTAACCCTGTAGATAATCCGAAGATCAAACAAGAATTCTGAGAGACTCTCAGAACGACAAAGAAAAATGTTACATTGCTTCGAAATGTGAAATCAATAGGTTAGGGTCCCGTCCTTTTTCATCTTGGTCTCGGGAAAAATGTAAACCATGAATATAGCAAGTCCAAAACTATTTTTTCCCATACTCCATGAATCCCAAAATCCCCATCGGGAAGACAGCGGGAATTCCCTTCACCGAATATATGGAACTCGCCTTAGAACTGGAGAGGAAGAGTAAAAACCAGAGGACGGCCCACATGGTCAAAGACTTATGTGGGCCTTATGGACTAGAAACCCGTGACGAGAACGACGATGACCTTCCCCCCGATCGCGTTTCTCGAGAAAACCAGTTTCGGATTTTTAATTGCCACGGACGGTTTCGTCACGCCTTGTCGCGTCTGGCCGGGTTTTAAGAAGAAACCGAGCCGAACCAGGTCCAGAGTGCAAGTCTCGATTGCATATCGAGAATTGCCGATCCCCGTTCATTTTCCGGGAATGGTGTCAATGTGTTGCATAATTTCATGGTAAATAATACAGGTACAAATATAATATACGAAGGATTGATGAATTCTGGACGGAACCCCTTACGAAAATGCCTTAGAAGATTCAGGTTACAGGTTCCTATAGGCCCTATAGGGAACCCTACGGGTCCTATAGGGAACCTATAGGTCTTATAGGGAACCCTATAGGTTCTATAGGGGGCTCTATAGGTTCTATAGGGAACTCTATAGGTCCCAAACTGAACTCTATGGGTCATATAGGAACCTATGGGATTCCTTTCCTATAGGTTCCTATATGACCTATATAATCCTATAAGACATTTTCGTAAGGGTTGAAGGATCTTTCTTGCTTCTCGTCATATTCTCGTTCCCAAATAGAATATTTTCAGCCATTTTCGAAGTTTGACATTGCGAACACCTTGAACTTCACGCTCGCGTTCACGGGTTCATACGGAAGCCATCGCTTTAACCATTCCGTGGCACCTGACTAAGAAGCTCAGGCAAGAAGCTCAGGCAAGGAGCTCAGGAAAAGCAAAATGGAGAAATTCCCATCTGTGAGTCTTCCAGAAAGCCAATATTTTTTCAAGAATAATAGGTATGTCGATTGCTCAGGTGACGTGAACTTATAACGTTTCTGTTTCGGGGACATGTGACCCCTTAGAGGCATACTCTCACCAACGGAATAGAATATCAAAACGTTTACAGCGGTTCATATGAGAGTCATGAAATCACCACGGAAGTGCCGTCCTCTTCAAGAATTGTCTCGTAATTTTTTAAAAAATGTATCATGGATTTTGATACATTCGTGAACCCTTGACCTTTCGCGAGAAAAGAATGGAAGAAAACAAAAAAAAAACGGCAGTGCAAAGAGCCCATTCTTCGTCCAGCTTCATGGCACGAGGATCATCATTTCCTTTCCGAAGAATTCAAAGAAAGGCAATTTCCATGCTGAGTCTTCAATTTGTTGAGGGAGATTTTTCTGAAGTTCGATTTTCCCAAAATTCCTCGAAATGTCACGTGACAGGACACTGTTAGGTCCATCTGGCCACGCAAGTCGTTATTGTCTGATTCCCGTGAAGAGCATGGCTTACTCGTGGCGAATTGCACAGGCCAATTGCCAATTGTGACAATGCGTTGAAGTCGGATTGACTTTGCATACGATTCCACTTAGTACGTCTTAAAACTCGACTCATTCTTTTCTACACTGAATACGTTTGGTTGGCATAAAAAAAAGTCCAGACACATTATTACTCGGCAGTACCAATTAATCTTGGAATTTTTTAAAAAGTAAAACTGAGAATCTACGATCCGGATTTGCATTGCAATTTCAAACATTTTTTTGCGTGGAAATGTTAGCACGATTGCATTTACCCTTCCTTGGCATTTCCTTTGTCTTCTTTCCTCTGCCGGGGATTTATTGCAGCGCTGAGGCAGACGCTCGCCCGTCTGTCACCCTTTTAGGAGTTAATCCCTGATTCTCGACTCGATCGATGGTCATCATAGCCCAATAACGGTCTCCCATTTTGAGCCAAGCACAGCCTCATCTGGAGTGAAAACGAGGTCATATATGACAACGACCGGAAGAGAGGCGAACCGGTCGCTTTGCAACTAAACGGTCGAAATTGGGGGTTGTGAGAGGGGATCTTCCCATTTCATGTGCAGGACTTGTTTAACTGTCTTTCGGACAGATTACCAGGAGATCTCCATGGCCAGGAATCAATCCAATCAGTCTGTGTGTGGAGCTGCAGGGCCCTTTCAACAAGAACGTTTTCCTGTCTCTAGCTAACACCCGTCAACCCGTGCTAGTTCGTTTTAAGAGAAAGCACACGATGAAATGATTGCCTCGGCAATGAGTTAATCCATAAATAATTTTTGAGGGAGGAATGTCCTTCTCCTGCTCTGGTATGATATTTCAAACCATCTATGTTATCTTTCGTGGAGTGAAGGTAAGTGAACTCACGAGATACAAAGTCAAAATTTACTCAGTCAAAATTTTTTGTTAGTTTGTGGTCGGGCCATAGCTAGGAAAGTTGACTCATCTTCTGCGAGTCAATGTGACTGAGAAAGTTCCAAAAACCGACGTGAGATGGAGCCAATGTGGTCGTAGTCGAGTCACTCCCCAGATTCTACTGAAATGAGTCCCTTTGACACGGTTCCCTTTGGTTTCTTGCAGAGATCTCAGAGGAAGACAATCGAATTCCTTTTAAACATTTCTCTTAAGATGTAACGGAACCCTGGAGTAAACCAGGAAATTCCGGCGGTTTCCCAACAATGAACCAAAGTTGGTCCAACAGGATATGACATATCATAAGCCGGCTTAAACCAACCGTAGGCAAACCATATGGTAGTGATGGCCTAACTACGGCTTTTAGGTCGACGAAAAGCCATCGATGGCACATTGAACAATTTTTGACCGGGTTCAGCTACGCCTCTCCCTGTGGGAAAAAGGCAATCAGGTCATGCTTTGGAAGCAATGAACTCCCATCCAACGCCGAAATCTCCCTGGTCCTGATACTTATTGACAACTGGCACGATACCCTTCGCACTAAGAGGTGGACTTCTTCGCCTATAATGACGTATCTAATCTCGCTCCCACCGCTTGTGCCTCGGCATTTAACAATTTTCCATTAACAATAGAATGACTCGTGTCGCCCGCATTGTACATTGCCTTTTATTTAGCTGTATACCTAATAGACTTTACTAGTTACACGGTAAGTCTCATTGGTGATCATGATGCAAGAGTTTGAGGAATCCTTTCATCATCAATTGAGGGCTTTTTCATGCCGAAGTTTTCATTTAATGGTTTGTTTCCTTTTATTTTCATTTTTTGCACTTGTTGCTTTTTTTCCATCAGAACGAGTGAAGATGACGTTCCCCAGTGAAGAAACTCGTGTTCAGCGTTGTACTATGGGTGCTCAGTGACTGACCGAATGACAAGAATGAAAGGCGAGGATACGATAATGGACGAGACAGGATGGAAGTCACACACCAAGAGAGGCGAGGGCAGAGCGACCAAGCAATGGAACCGCGTTATGCCCCTTCGTATCTAAAGGCCGTCACTTGGCGAGTACTCGCTAGGGCCACTAGGGCCATTAAATAAGTGTAACACCCCTTACTAGCGAGTAATCGCCTGAAGTTTGAAATCTTTCAAACTCGTAGCGATTGCTAGCGAGTGAGATGTGAACTACGCGAGTATTCGCTAGCGAGTGTGATTTTACACGAAGTGAATGGCCCTAGAGAGTACTCGCCAAGTGTAACAGGGATTTAAGCAACGAGTTCATGTAACTGCATAGGCCAAATCTATCGCCACTTCGTTTGGTAATACACAATACTGCCTACTTCCACGAAATATGTCCGATGTTTTCGCCCTGTAGTTTAACTTATCTTTAAGTGCCCTCGTCACACTTGCATTTTCCCCTTTTTTCGATCCTAGCAATATATCGAATATATCGTATCCACTACAGTGAGACGGTCCAAAGTGTCACAAATTGTTAATAAATTAAGACTTCCATGAATTAACATATAACCTTTCATTCGGACAGAGAGCACTGAAATGAGACGAACTCAATCCGAAAGACAAACTAATCGTAAATCATATATGTTGCGACAAAGAACGGTGGGTTCCTTGATTTCTAAAATGAAATCCACCCCACACCGGATGAGCTGTCCAGAAACACCTCCCTCCCTCAAGATTCGCTTTATTAGGGGACAATGAACATAGGAGAGTGAGAAGGACCAACGGATGAGAACGACTTATGCTCACCACTATGAAGTTCAGCGAGTCAACCACATGATTCGCTAACTTGAATTACCGTCCCATTGGTCGCAATGAGGTCAGCTGACCTTTGGGATTTGTTTTTCCGACTTAGCGTCTCAGCAAAGTCAGCTGACTTTACTGCGACGCTCCTGAGACGTAAGGGTACAGAAGGTTTGTTCCACGTTTTTTTCGAATTTTTCTACCTCACGGACGTTTAAGGAGGGAGCAGGTGATTGCTCTGATATCAGATAGGTTATTTATAGTTGGTCTGACCGAATTTGGCGAATTCGCTCATGACTTTATCCTAGTCTTTGTTGGAAACATGATTTTCTATTAGGATATGTATAAATATATATGTGGATTTAATTATGTCATTACGCAGAGACTTGAAGCAGACCATGAATCTATCATCCCATCTTAAGTGTTCGGAACTTTGCACCAAGAATGTGATGATTACAATCATCATTTGATAGATCTTACATGGTGCCTCAGGAAAAATGTTAACGCTGCCAGAGTTGATTTTTCATATGTTATATTATGTTTGAATGGAAAATGTTGCGGCAGTTAAAATGAGAAGAGATTATGCTTTCTAATGCTGATGGTGGTATGAAGATCAAGGAGTTCAAAAGCGACATATGGAATTGTGAATTTTACATTTACAAAATTCAGACCAAGCAGCCTGTGTTAAGAGAATCCAGCAAGGGAAGCACCAGAAGAAGCAAGTGTCAAAACATTGGGTGTTACCCGAATTCTTTTCCCAAAACTCATATATTTTCAAACTTTCATTGGAAAATGCAACAGGTTTTTATTTTCCAATTTGTCCAATATTTTCCAACAATCATCCTTTTAGTTGAAGTAATCAACAGAACGAACATTTCAATCTGAATAGAAATTCACGTACAGGAAATCATGCGATCATCCATTTTCTCTCCATTACCACGCATCTCCCACCTCCACAATTGCCAGAGAAAAATGGCTCAAGACAAAATCCTTTCTGTTGTACTTGTTCCAAAAATGTTCACTAATTATTCAGTGGGCGAGACGGATGTACTTTGGCTTGATTATCCCATGTTGGCCTCGACTTTGAACAACCCGATTGGTATATTTCAACTCTTCGACAAGATAAACTGGATTTTGGCTCCTTTCTCCGTGACTAAGGAACACTCTAGATCGGTCCTGTAAACTTGAGCGACCCCTCAGATGAGTCATTGGGAAGTCTTCATGAGAAACTCAGGAAAGACGGGAGCAAAAAGTATGAAAAATGTCTCAAAGATTCGGCTCTTGGAAAAAGTGGTCCTTTAGGAATAGAATCTCTTCGAGCCTCCAGAGGCTGGAGTTTCATAGCTGCCTTAAGAAACAAGCTTCATTCAGGATGTTTTCCTCGAGTTGATTTTAACCCGTCCTGCTTCGTACTTGCATCCCTGATAGGTACTCTCGTTTGGTACCACATTATCTCAATTGAACTGTAGTACCAAGAAATCCTGAAAATAAAATTCCTCTCCGATTTAAGTTCACCAATCCAAATTCCTTAAGTATATCATTAACAGGACCAATTTCAGGAAATTCTTTTGATTTTGACATCACTGTCATCCAATAATCGCCTTTCTCCATCGTCCCATTCATCTTCCTATTGAAGAAGGGGAGAGCCCAGTCATTATCCAAATCCACATCCAAAACCTTCACATCTCTCATTTTCTCAACAAATTTCCTCATCAATTTGTCCATCTCCTTCTTCTCCGCTCCTCCCATCTTCATAATTGTGTGTGAATAGAGATGGATCACAACAACAACTTGCATCTTTAATTTCTTCAAAAAGGTGCAGAGATCCCTCTCGTCGGTCACTTTAAATCTGGGTACCTAATAAGAGAACAGAGAAAGAAAATACATCATTTGTCGGCGCAGATTTTTTCTGCATTTACATAGCATAGCAAAATAAACTCCTAATGTTTACCCAATATATCTCTGCTTCTAGTAGAACGTTTTTCAAGGAAAAAAAGTCGCTTTCAGTAGCACGTTGGCAAGATCCTTGAAAATGTCATCGAAAGACATTCGGCCACAGCAAAGCCTTCATTCACTTTTTAGAGACTGAACGCGTGAAATGAATTATGGATTCCTATGAGTACATAGTGACGAGAGTTCATAATTTCCTTTCTCAACTTCAGTGCGTGGTAAAAATCTGAAGAAATTCAAAGTAAACTTTCTGAGCTGATACCCATTGATTCAGTTGGTATCAACCAAGAAAAATTCCCATTAAGAAAAATCTGCAAAATGTCCACTGCATAGAATGAGGCCTGAACTACATACGAAAATAGTGAAAAGTAGTTCACTGTGCCTCCTTCATGGCACTGTCTCCTGTTCATTCTAATTTCTAACCTTTCTTAAATTATTACTAGTAAGAATATTTTGAATTCATATCTGGGTAATGTCGAAAGTATTGTTCATTTTACCCTCAGTTCATCAGTTTGTTCATTCCCTCGAGTTCAAGAGAACCTTTGGAAGTCTAGGAGGCCGGCCAACAATAACGTGGATTCCAATTGGAAGACAACAAAGGCATCAGAAGTCTTTGGATGCCTATTTTAGTGGGAATGATTTGATCTGAATATGTGGTGTTATTTATTGAATGAAATATATTCTTAATTTTTCATGTTGCCGAAAATCCCATTCTTGCACACATATTTATTGCCCCGCTCCTACATTCTTCTTCATCTTGATCAATCGATTCCCAATGAATTCCCTTTCTAACCGCAACGCAACAGTTATGTGAATCACATAACCATGGCCTATCACGATTTTAAGTAGTTATATATTTGTATGGTACGCGAACATTTTATTGAGGAGGAAAACTCTAAGAATGATCTCAATGCGTAAAATTTAACTTCCCGGAAATTTAGGGTTAAAAGAATGCAAATTAATTCAATATATTCTGAGACTTCACAGTAATGATAACCTGGGTAGCTATGGAAAACTCATAGACGAATCCTGTCATTTCGTTTAAATGTAACAGATTTAGGCTTTCGATGAATACCGTCGTCGGCTGAGATCGACGAGGTCGCTGAAGTTGAGGTGACTGAGGTTGAGGTGGCTGGGATTGAGGTTGCTTTTGATTAGGTCGCCGAGGCTGAGGTCGGAACTCCTGATTTGATAGTGACATCTGAGGAAGAGGCGCTGCATCGTTTGGGCTTTGATCCCTGTCTTGTGTTTGGGTCCCCCCAGCAAACAGTTGCTTCATTTCTTTCTCCTAAATCACATGCCAAACTCATATATGCAATTTCCTTCAAGAAAAGATGATAAGTGGAATGAAATATGAAACCTGAGCCCTCCATCTGGTAAGGTCTGCCTCAATTCTGAGCTTGTTTTCCTCTACCGCCTCCAAGGCTGACTGCTCCTTCTGGAGTTCCGCCTGGAGACCTTTTATTCGAGCCTCACACCTTGCCTTCAGCTCCTCGGTTTCAGCCAGCGTCTTTAGCATGTTCTGCTTGCTGTCTTGCATCGCCTTCATCTCTTTCATTACCTGAATGAATATAAAACCATGATAATAGGCAAATTTCCTTAAATTTGCCTATAATACTTTCTACGCCAAAGTTACCTACCTTGTCCCTGAAGTCAATGAATGCGAATGTCATATTTAAAAATTAATTACTTTAACGTTTTAAAAAATACGTTAGTAATACCCCTTTTCTTTTAAAAAGAACTTAACACAGTATACGAACCTACAATCCTTTCCTTTTCAAATAAACTTTCAGAACATCTCACAACCGATATTTTCCTTTCATATCCCACACTGTCACAACATAGCCTTGCTTCCCTTTCTGGGTACTGTAATCATTGGTTGAATAAAGGTAATTTCAGGTTTTAATTTTATATATAGAATGAAAATATACAAATTTGATCGGTTTCGCTAAATGACAGTAACGTGACCTTAAGAGCAGGTTGATCTATCTTGAGATTCAGTAAACGTCACGTCTGGCATTTTCCTTCGCACATAAATACACACCTAAGAAAAGAGAGTATGCCAGATTTTGACTAGAGGAATTTTCAGTCACTGGCTAAGTCTAATTTTTTCATCACTTACATGTTGATTTATCTTTGTTAGATAGTTCAATAAATTAGTATTTCATACATTAAGTTGTCAGAGGAAGTTGATAAGTACCATCCATCGGAATTTTTCGTTCTACCGCCTACTTTTCTTGGCTTATTTTAAGAATATTTCCTTCATTTTCTCAGAGCTCCCAGCTATAACGGACTAGGCTGAAAAGTGCTACATTTTCTTTTCGCTTAGGGGGCATTCCATCAAACTCATTTTTGATACATATCACCGATCAAACTCTATTACCTGTGTGCAACTAAAAGGACGAAGCATCAACAATGCCTGCCTTTCAAGGTGAAATCGAAAAAGCGCAGTTACAAGGCGTACAGGAAAGGAAAAAAGAATCCTGGAAGCATTAAACAATTTTGACCCTCTTTGATCACCCTCTATATGTGACAAGGTTTGATTCTGTCGATTTATGTGACATCACGAGACGTGCTTCTGAAGGGTTAAAAATATGACAGGAAAATATAAATCCAAGAGCGAAACAGAAAGAGATGGAATTCATCTGGGAAATTAGACTTTTATGAATGTTTTATGAATGTGCTTGTTCAAAATAGTGATTTAATTATGGTTTACCTTTGATAGGGCCATCAGATTTCCTCACTGTCAATTACAATTGTATCAATACTTACAATGAAATGTAAAAGTGCATGATTATAGAGTCTCCTCTGATATTGATCTTAGGCAGATAGGCGTGCAATTGTATGGCCATGGACACAGCTCTCTTACCATTTGGAATTTATTTCGATCCATTTTCACTCCACTGGTCAACCTGCAATAATCCAAACCAATCCCTTAGTGTTGCAACAATCCAAACCAATTCATAGCATACAAGAAAATGGTAACCGATTTTTTGCGAAATGTTTGGAGACGACGATCACGCGACGATAGTGCTTCGCGTAAGACGGAACGGACATATCCACGTGGATCGTTTAACCAGACTGTCCCGGACTTAGGCGACGGAAATTAGAGAGCTTATTTGCATAAAATGCATAAAGGCTTTCAACTAGGTTTGGTAGGTAAATCTATTGTCGCCACATCGAAGTAAAGCATATGGAGCATCACCCTCTCATGAGAAACTGACCTTTCAAATTTGAAATTCCATTTTGAAAAACAATATCTGGAATGCGTGAATGAGATATGAGTTCTTCTCAGTACGTAATTTTCCCCCAAATTTATACAGTTGTCACCTGTTATTCAGAACTATTAATTTGGGAAGGTATCCCCCTCTGTCAAATGGTTGGGGGGGGTGTTCGAGTACCCTTAGAGCCCATAGAGAGACAGCCTGGCCAACTCCAGTCCCTATTTTTAACGAATCTGATTGACTGCCTCGCCAGAGCGCCATTTCGATTCCAGGAGCCCAGCATCGGCTAGATGGGGTCAACCCCTAGGGCTTTTTTTTTAGCGATAATGCCCTGCTGTATGGCTGTTGGATGCTCCAACACGAGTGAGACAAGATATAGAGTGCTTCGCCTCTCATCAAAGAGGAATCGTCGGACCCTTTGGGCTGCCAAGGTGAAAAGACTGAACTGGAGGACACCGACAGCGAATTCATAGCTCTGTGATTTCGATTGTCAGGTATAAAAAAATTATTGACTGATAAAGTTTATTACATAAAGAAACACCCCCTCACTTCAGAGTATGCTAACATTATATAGACCTGTGATGTACGTCTCTGCTGCTTACCGCTATTATTTTTTAAAGACCTATAGGAGCCCAAGACTCACTAGCGCATCAAAGTTACTTCCAAATTTCTCTTGCATATCCCCATTTCTGGCCCATACTCATATCTGACGAAAATATAAAATTCATTTATCACCCCTTCCGCACCAATAAGGTCAAGATCTGGATGAATTTAAATACTGAAATATGCCAAAAACGCATAGATGAGATGGGTGGGTTGGTGACATCACAAACCCTAAGCCCAAGTAGGCCCAGGCATAATTTAAGGGCCTGGCCTGATATGGGCCTATAAGCTTTGGATGCATCACTGGTAGGCCTACAATCAACATTTTGGAGCTTATTTTCTAACAACGACTAACTTGCAAACGTCGACTTCCCTTCTCTTTCTCTTCCCCCTTGGATGAATGGCATATATGGAGATCAGCTGGCTGATCAGAATATATACTGGGATTAGCTTTAGTTATCCGTTAGTATGCTGGGTTTTTGGTATATTGGGAAGGTCTCAAATGTCAGCCGCGGTGCAAGAAAGGCATTTGAGAGTACTTGATTATGAACGGTGATGTTTGGGAGTGTATCTGATTATTTGGTAACGCATATTCACATTCAGATCTGGGCCTGTTGTCAAGGAATCGAATGGATTTATGAGAGAAGGAATTTTGGAGACTGAATGCGGAGGAATCAAAATGGCACCCAACGCGGGAGTTGGCCAGGTTCTGTCTCTCTAGGGGCTCTACAGTACCCTAAGCTCCCCATGAATCACCGCATACGCTTATGTGGATGCAAACACTCCATCTCGAGATGGAAGTTCTTAATGAGCATGCCAGAGCTAGAGCAGATGCAATGCCTGTCGCGAGAACAAAGAGAGGGGCCACGAATATCCCAACTCCTTCACGGTAGTCGAGGAACCTATCACTAGTCTACTAGGTTCCCAAGTAATTGGGAAATGAAGAATAAGGGGGCAAACCCTGCGAGAGAACCACTGAGTGTCGCTGTGTCTCACTTTCGACTGCTGAACTCTTATCATTGATGACGCATGCTCGAGACGCTATCCCTATGTAGAGAGCTGCTCGGGTGTTAAAACGATTAAGTGGTTTTGTGAGGTTACACAGATTTCCAACTAAATAAGGAATATTCGTCAACATCGAGCTCCGTAATCGAGCTGAGCACAGATTCATCAATTGACTTACCTTATATAAACCGATGTGAAATACTGGATGCTGAGACCGATTCCAGCCTTTCTGTCTAGACTGGCTCTTGGAACAACGTCCACATAATAAGACTGAAACCGAGCCACACGTACCATTCGGGGCAATCCTGGCGTGAATTGCGTGAAGCAAGCTGCAATGATGGCTCTACCATTCCCGCCCAACAGCCTTGGCCTTACGATCTTTCATCGGTCTTTGTGCGCATGAGCGTCTACTCTGCGAAGTGGATCGCGCCCCCTTCCTTCTTCGTATCGCTCAAAGGCAGGGCGTGAAACCGAATGAAAGGAATACCGAGCCAGCATATGATCTAAGCCAGTTGAATTTTTTAAATTGTAGCAATGAAGTTCTGTTGAATGGAAATGGGGAAAGAATGAAAATTCTTTGAACAGAAAAAGTTAGGACCGAAAGAGGGGTATGACAAAAAAAAATATGTTTGAAGTATGAAAATGTCCTATAGAGAGGATCCCCCAAATGATGTTAAAAAAAAACTAGGAATTCTGTTGTTTTCTGTGGGAGAAAACAAAGAAGTTTCACTCCGGTTTAAAGCTATTGTATGACATTCTTCCGTACTGCGTAAAATACTTGAGGTCGAGGTTATCTGTGGCTGGAGTCCACTGGCGGAAAAAAAAAATTCATAAATAAAAAGTTCTGGGGAATGATCCGAATCCAATTTCATAGGACTAAGGGCGTGTCCTTCTCCTGCCAGCCCTTTAAGCTGCTAACGGAACGTAAGGAGACTGAAGGTGAGTTCGCAATTACCCAGGCAGCATCTGACATCCGACGGACGTCCGTCGGGTAGGATAGGAAGTAGAAGGATATACTGCGGATATATCATACATCGTCGGATGGCTGATGCTGCCTGGGTACGAGTGAGTAGAGGAAGCCTCTCATGGCTCGCTACTTCGTTCTCTCCATACAGTCACCCTTACTCGAAAGAGGAGTGTGAGGAGCCCGCTCCCCCTCGTCTGCATCCCCCGTGACCTTGGGAAGCCCTGAGTCACACATAATGGCGCACTCTCTCGTATTCCACGTCGTGAAAGCGACTTACTCCCGGTCATGCCCGCAGTAGATTACGAGTGGGAGTATAAACAAAGGGAAACAGAGATACGGCTTGCAAGATATGCATGACGTAGAGCGCTGAGGCCATCTCGTTTCCTCATGGGAGGATGACGCATTGGATTTGGGTGGACCCCACCGTTATCATCTGGACACGAGGGGCCTATGAAACACTCAATAGAGATTGCCTCAACCCTCTGAGTTAGATTAGGTAATGGGTAACATAAGTATTTCATGGAGCCAAGGAAGATTAAATGGAAGGAGCTTAATTAATTACACTAAATAGCATTACCAAAATTTCTAACAGTTTTGTTCCACGTAGCTTTTCGAAATCTTTTGAAATCAAGCCGTTTTCTCGTGGAATATGACAAGTCCCTCTTCAATTTCTTCTCCCTCGAGAGGCTACTACCAACAGAAAAAAGGTTCATCATAATTTGGGGACGAGACCAATTGAGAATAGATCGCATGGCCACCTCACTCCTCACGTATTTACTAAACAACAAAACCAGAGCTGAAAACTTGAAGTTCTGTGAGATCGACTTTTCACAAGAGCCATCCTTCTACTTCACTTTCAAAGCCACGAATCAAGTTTCGTGCGATTAGAAACTCCCAAAATGCTCGTAGACGAACAGAATGGGGAATTAACGGCGAAGTTTCCAAGAGATGCCAATCACACATCTCGGCCCTGTTGGCTCTCTTCTCATTGTGGCATTACAACACTGGGCGGAACCGTGCGGCTTGCAAGCGTGAGATTCCAATGCGAACTTGGTTGGTCTGGTTTCATGGCCGTGGAGGTCGTCCAGTCGGTTCCGGCTCTTGCTACAGAGTGGGACGGGTGGCAGGTTCCATCGCAGCCACTTCCCCTCTCTCTGCCTCTATTATTCGGGTTAAAACGCCTGGGTGAAGGACGCCTACTGTCCACATCTTATTCATCGCATACGTATAAATTGCCTCATGAACTCCTAAGGATAAAACCCTAAACCCTAAAACCCTAAACAAAGGACAAGGTGTACCATTGATCCTGATGGCCACTGATGGACCGGGACTTCAAAATGAGTCTGGAAAGCAGGCGTTAGCGAAGAGAGCTTTAAAAAACCTGTTCATTTTGAGCAGACTCGTCCCATCGGCGTGAATAGACCAAGGAGAGTTTTCAAGCGAGTCGTTAGCGTTACAATCCAAGCCTTCTCCCCCTCATTTCGTTCTTACAAACTTCTGATTCTCTTCTCAAAATACGAGACGAAGGGGCCCGAAGGCAAAAGCTGTTGGCAGAGGCTGTGAAATCTAAAGGAAGTCCGACGCGATAGACTGCCGGAAACGGCTTTCCACGAGTCCGGCCAGCGACCCCGTCGACGCACCCATGCACAGACCCTCTCTCTCTCTCAGCAAGGGATCCACGCAGCGCGAAGGCTGGAAGGGAACTGGCAGCTCTGGATCTCGCACCTCGACGAGAGCTAAGTGCCGCGCATGCGCCTTGAGATTAAACTGCTGAAAGTATGACAGTCGCTCGAGTCTTTCACGCTGCGAACAAAAAAGGTCAAAGTTCAAATATCCGAATGAAATTCAGTTTTTCTCTTTGGTAAGAATTTAGCGACGGAAAACTTAGTCCGTGCCTCGACCATATCCGTCAGTTTTCCAATCTGCCCATTGATTCTGTACATACATATTTTTTTTTTAAATCAAACGTTGAGCATCCAAAGTGCGAAACACAGACTGACTGACAGAATAGAACTCCACATTTTGTGCAAATTATTTGCACATCCGCATGCTCGAATCTAAGTCGAGCCCAAAATGTGCGCCATCGTGTCTGTCATCCTGCGTCAATCTCGAACAGAAACACTTCAAAATTGTTTTCGGCTACGAGATAGCTCATTATCCTTCTCA